ATATAATATAATATAACGTAGTTAATATAATGCATATAATATAATATAGTTAATATAATATAATATATCACAATACAATGCGTCGTCCTATATTGTACCATATATATGACATTACGTTGTTACTGATGAAGTCTACTTCTGTTTCGTCTTCATGCTAAGGCTTTGTCGACCAAATGTGCATTTTAAGGCATTGACTGCGAGTTTGCACACTGAAAACGCACCTGTTGGAAAACAGCACTCTCTTCGGCAAACGATGGTTCGGCATACGTAACGCATGTCCCAACCAACGCAGCTTCTGGTGCTGGACACATTCTTCAATGGAAGTACCCGTTACACAACCGAAAACACGCTTTCTAACTGCCTCGTTACGGATTCGCCGACACCAACCCACACGAGCTATGGTTCTGAGACAACGATTGTCGAACACCTGAAGACGTCTCAGGTCCGCTGCTCGAATAGGCCAAAACTCACAGCCATACAACAAAACAGCCCGTACTGTAGCTTGATACACGCGTCCCTTCAGATTCAGGGATAAACCATTTTGACGCCATAGGTGTCTCAATTTAGCAAACGCGGCCCGAGCCTTGCAGGATAGAGTTATATCTATCTTGGCCTGATTGTCAAGAATCAATGCACATATTCCATAATAATCCTTTTGTAATAAACATATTTCTATTGTGCCCACCCAACAGCAAAGAGGCAAGCTAGTAAGGGAAATTACGCAATGTCCAGTGTAGCCCGGCCACTAAATTGAGTAGGCGCAAAAGAAAAGCCCGATTCGGTTAACTACATTGGTCACTCGAAACCTCGGGGCACGTTTATTCCAGTGAACGATAGTTGAGGTCAGGTCACTCTGATAACTTCTGGCCGAGACACACTTGTCGCTCAGTAAATGAGGTCGTTTCAGAATAGGCAACTGTGTCAGGTTCTGAAGAGTCACCTGATTTTGCGTTAAAAAAACCATGTGCCTCTTCCCCTCGGCAATGAAACATGAACCACGCTGAATACGGCTGCATGGGCTAAGTCGGTCACCGTCAAACTGGTGTGCATTGATATCAGCAGAAGGCTGTTGGTAGTTGAGCAATCTGCAACATCCTGTTGTGTCTAGATGAGTGCAAGATCTATGATTAAAAATGAACTCAGAGGCGTGTGGTCGGTCTGTTGTCCAGTAATATGATATCTACCACCTGGGCTGTGTGCGGAAGACAATCGAGTCGAAATTTTGGTGAACAAACACCCATGACGGCTTTTCAAGTTTCACCATCTTTCTTGGCTTTCCTTCCGTCTAACTTCGTGTCCTAGCCATCATAGAGCTATTTTTGACTCACTCGAAAAACACCGCTGCGATATAAGCTAAATACACATGGATCATAGAGCTGAACTTGGCTAAGCAGAGTCTACCTCAGTATGAAGATTTGCAACTTCCTCAGTGCAATTTACGTTGGCTGGCATTTCGCCGCTATCCTCGAACAAGCCTGTGAGTAAAATCGCCAAGTTTAATTTTTTGTCCCTTTTGCCCGGCGCGAAAATGTCCCTAATCTACATTTGATCAATTTTCTGTGGAGCCATTTTTGTTGATTTTTACTTTCAAATTTCATTATATCCTCATTTACGTGAATTCGAACTATGTTGGATTTTGCTTGGCTTATTCTAGACTAGTGAACAAATAGATTCAACTGGTAAAACATCGCAAGTGTGTACAATTCCCCCAGCACGGTTTTTTAGTAGGTGACATTTAACGTACGTACAGGAAAAAAATAAGGTTGTTTAAAACTTTTTCTGGACGACTCTTTTCAGCTATGTACAATTTCTTGGACATTTTGGCCAGACAACAGCATGAAATGTGAATCAACCATTTGGTACAACATTCGCTGCGGCCGAATGTTCCGTGACAGTGTTCACTCGTTAATTCTAAAAGAACTTCTTTCTGTAAGCCAGCAGTTAAAGGTCAAGGTGATTCGCGTTTTTCAACTGAAGTCGCTAAGGTGGGTGTTTGGTGCAGTAGGCACGAATTATGGCTGTCGTGCAGCATATTGTATTGACCGGAAAAAATACGTGGGCAAACTTCACTGAAATTAATATTTGTGAAAGCAAATGGTGGTGATAAAGGAGATTTTTTTATCATAGGCCACCTGAGAACTGTCCAGACATGATTAGGTAATGAAACATAAACAGTGGGCTGCTCGTTTAAATGAAATGCATGATGTTTCGCTGATCGCCAATCCTATCTCATAAATCGAGATAGGATACTCTGATCGAATTGGAGGGCGACGATATTGCTCTGGTAAGCAGTGGTGCACCTTGTACACTTGTACACATTTGTAATAAATAAACTTTTGTAATAAAAAAATCTGTAACCAATTAGTAAGCAATATTCAACAGTGATCAATTTGTAATCAATCATTATCAATTTTGGTACTAGTCATGGCATCATTTCTATCCCACGATCTGTTTTTACCGACCACCTGGGAGATCGCTCCACGTAAACATAACCAGCCGAAAAACCGTGAAGTAACAACCCAAATAAGACTTTTTAAAGACGGAACAATCGTCCTTAAATGTACATCTCACCAGGTGCGACTCAGTATGCTATCCCCCGTCCGTTTTCAAGAAGAGCAAAACCCGAAATTTCTCCTTAGCGTCCTTCCTTGTTTCAACACTAGACTTAAGGTTTGCAGTATCCAATTATATGTCAGATGCACCAACCCAAACGAGGACCTGTGGAAGTCACCGGTACTTTGAAGCTGAGCTGCCAACAATAGACTGCTGTGAAGATGGAAGCCACGTTCGATCAAGTTATTGGACGTATGTCAGCAGGGTTAGATAGGGGAAATTAGAACTCTGCGATTTTTGTTTGCGATTTCCCTCTCTATTTGCTGGCTTAGTGGTTAAAAGAAAGTTGCAACCACTGCAACTTTCGTTTAACACAAATTTAAGCTACCTGGTCTGTTAGCCTTTAGCTGTTATCTGCACGACAAACCAAAACTGACACGGAAGCAGCTCTCTACTGAGCAATACCGAGAACGGAAACGTATTCAGACACTTACAGTGATTGTCCTAGGCATTATGTAAGTGAACTTGTTTCAAAGTTAATTAGACTACAAAGTAGGAGATTCTCCCAAGAAAGCTAGGGTCATTCCCTAGAAATATGATAGTCAACTAACTCATATGAATCAAACCAATGTGCGCGATAACCGGAAAATAATATAGTTTGGTGGCCCCTAAGTTATTACGTATCACCCTGCTTCTTTGCTCCCTTCATCTGGGGTTTCTTAGAACATACAGGTGGAAGAATGAATCGATTTCACTTTAAAAAGCTTGTCCGGGTCAAGAAATAATACTTTTAGGAGGCAAACTCTCTTCGTTGGCTTTACAGGTGCTTTATTCTGGAGGGAGAAATGCCGTCTGCTAATTATATATATATTGACGGTCTATAAATTTTTATTATATATTATATATATTGCTTATCCTGAGTTATCAGTATTGATCAACTGACTACAAAATCAGATACGTGATAGTTTCTTTCAGTCAAGTCAAGATTCATCATCATCATCATCATCATCAGTGTTCAACACCGATGCTTCACTGCCGTACATCCATGACTTATTTGAAAGCCTTATTGTAAAGAAAAGAATAAGGATGGAGGGGGGACGGATTTAGTGCTAGCTTAACACAATCATTCCGAGGTGCCTACACCTCCAGACATTCACTCAGGCAATCTGGATAGAAACTGACAACAAGAACGCCACTGACATCGGTTGGCAGCCATATCTTGTAGTGTCTCCAACCAGGCACAGTAAGGATCACGCGGTCTCCATCCTGGAAGGCGAGTAGCACCGACAGCACCCAAGCGTTTCGTCATCTCCTTCATACTCCTCTGCCAGGTCATGGGTCTGTACGGCAGTGAAGCATTGGTGTTGAGCACTGATGTCATGCTGTCGTTGATGATGATGATGATGATGAACCCACACGAGCTATGGTTCTGAGAGAACGATTGTCGAACACCTGAAGACGTCTCAGGTCCGCTGCTCGAATAGGCCAAGTCTCACAGCCATACAACAAAACAGCCCGTACTGTAGCTTGATACACACGTCCCTTCAGATTCAGGGATAAACCATTTTGACGCCATAGGTGTCTCAATTTAGCAAACGCGGCCCGAGCCTTGCAGATTCGTGCATTCACCTCATCTGTCACACTACAATCGGAACTAATACAACTTCCAAGATACGTGAAACGCTCACATATCCCTAAACCAGGCGATGGACAGGGGTATTGTTTGTGTCAACAATGAAACCAGGTGAAGCCCATAAAGAAATGATACTTCATCAAAACAGTTGGTAGGCAGTTTGACGGCTAAGTTGCATGAGCATGATATCAAGTGAATGATATAATCGCCCGTACGGTTATTCGAAATAAAAATTGCTGCAAATAGAATAAAGAAAAATATTTTTCCATATTTGTCAGTTACGGTTATTAAAGTCTCCTGTGTCTGAACGCTGCTGGTCAGGATGACAGTGGGGCACAGAGGAAGGTCACAAAATGAATCACGAATTAGAGTACGGTGCTCAAATGCTCTGGGTAGTTTAGCACAGTAGACGATCTGATGAAAAAGGGCCTTTTAGGGTTTACAGGTCTGGCTGTGATAAAAAAACGTCGTATATGGATACCACACGGAAGAGCTAAGGTTGACTTCTACATGGGGAGTTTCAGTGACCTCTTTTTACTCTGTTTAGACAAATTATTTATGTAATCCGCGATAAATATAAGCCCATCAAAAACAAGCGGGGCCCAATGCTAATATATGTATGCAGCTTAAATGGATATTTCGGTGTCGTTATTGCATCCTAGGGAAGAACGAAGGATAAACTCGGTTGGATTGTAATGAGTAACCCTCAGAAGGGTTGCCTTCTGTAGGATGAATATTAGAATATTTTTGCACAGTTTAAATGCGTCTGCATCTATCTCCGGATGGCCTTATTCCCACGCCTTCACGTACGAAGTTCGTAACTGAATTGAAGGACAACTCTTGCATTGCTGGAATCTTTGTTTGGACCAGATTGCAGGAATTAACAAAAACTGAGGGTTCTAGTTGCGCTTTGCACACCGTATCGGAACTGGTTCAGTTTTGTTATTCATTATTAGAAGTACAGCTTACTCGAGTACCAGACTGTTAAATTTGCTTTCTATGATAAAGCTTCTAAAATGGATTAATTTTGGTTTTATCTGTTTGGAACAGTATCTTTCCCAAAAAAGCACGTTTCGAGCTAATGGTTAATTAGCTAATGGTTAATGACAGTTCCAATTAGGCGGTACTCACTCTGGTCCTCAAGTGATCTTTCATAACGCTGACTGAATCAGTACGATCCCACACTTTTTTGCTTTCGTCCATTCCCGGACCAGACAGTTGTTCGGTTGATTCTGTTGTTGAAACTGTGCAACAGTTTGACAACAAACAAGCGATAATCAGAAAGCAGCAAGTTAGCGAATAGCGTAGTGATAGCATTTCCATTTTTCGCGTCTCGGTGGAAACCATTAAGTATACGACTGACGTAGCCAAAGCTGATTTCAAATTTATATACACCAACGAACAGGCATACGTGTGCACAGCTGTATTACGTGGCAACACCGGCCCAGGCCATATTGGTTGGTGACTGAGATTCCCCTACAGGTTTGTGCGAAAGCGTACAACATCAGGTGTGTATGCATAGAAGGATACAATCGACTACCTAGATGCACGTATGCGTGCGTTTTTGTGCGAAGCTGAAGTTAAAAGGGGTACTGGGACAGAATCAGATATTCAAACGGAAACGAAAAAAAAAATATTTTAACTCGGACTGTCCTGAATCAGGCGAAAAAAGACATGTGTAACTCGAACTGTCTCTGAATCAGGCTATTCGAGAACAGGTTTACTGAAGCAAAATGATCGGGTGACTTCTGAAATTACACAACTACAACATGGTTGCAACAAATCTAATACAAGATGACAGCAATATCAACAATCACATGTGTTTTCTGAGGCAGATTAATCGATGAAGCTGTACAATTAACCCGTCTGGGATGTGATTTCATAATGTTATGTCGAACCTCACGTGTGGAATTTAAATCAGCTTGTGCACTGTAGAAGTAAAGTCTCTAATCAGAAAAATCGTGATTGTATCTGATTCTTGAAATCAAATTACGGCGAGCCCCATCCAATAAGCGATTTTTCCCTTGGAAGATGATTCAGATGGGGTCATGAATATTCCGCTACAACCGTTCAACAGTGTCCAGCTGCCACGCCACTCGAAGGAAGCACGAGGGCTGAGATCGTGCTAGACTGCCCAAGCCTAGACAGGGGAGGTCGAAAGGCGTAGGTCGGTTTCGGACCACGGCCCTTACGGCAAGTAAATTTGCCCTCTAACCACTGAGCCCTATCGCGAATTAAGCAAACACCATCCAAGAAGGCAACAAGGAATATCCCCAATTTCATGAGGAGTTTCCATTTCGCAAATACAGTCGTTTGATGAAAACTGCGAACAACCATGGACAGGTCCTGATATTGAAGGTATTAGTTATGGCCTGCGCAGAACTGGGCCAAGTCACAGGTTGCTTTGCAATCTGTTATTGAACTCTGTTTGTTTGATTAACATCATCTCCCAGCTTTGTTCAGGGAGCAGGCTGATTTCATAGAATACACTTCGGAGGGCTTTTCCAACCGTCGGGCACTGGGTGTATACAACAGTTGTCAGTGTGTGTATTCCCCATTCAATGCCTGAAGAGTTTGGTTTCCTCAGGCCACCGGTCAGATGCATAGATCAGTTGGCCGCGACGTCACGCAGTGCCTGTGGTACGTGTTCTGGAATTTTGTTTCCCATTCATAGCACTGCTTATTCAGAAGCGAGTGAGACGTGTGTGGCATCGGCATATTTGTTTACTCGGCGAAAATCATACCATTGGTTCAGACGCATTTGCAGGTACATGGGTTATTGAAACACACGCTGAGACCCAATAAATCACCCATTTGACTGGGAGATGCAATCAAAACCCTAGTAGTACCGTCATTTAAGATAGTGTTAAATCTAATTCCTACCGAAAATCTGCCTGAACCCGGGCGAATAGTCTAGATAGCAAGCTGCTTTTCTCTGAATACTGGTTGATATTATGGAGGGTGCAGGACACCGGCAAGTTGGTAATCATTGTTAAATGTCTCATTCAGGTGTTCACCTGGGGGGTTAAATCAATTTTATGTAAACCGACCTAAATGGGATTTCATAAGGTCACTCTTCCACTGTGCAACGATTCCCTCCCAGTAAGCGGCGAAAAAAACCTTCTTGAAAGGCAGTCCTTGTTGCAAAATTACCGTGTGGAGTTCCAGAACGCAGCGTCTGAAATATTACACACAATGCCGAAAATCACCTCCGTTGGCAAAACAAACTTGCCAGTTTATTGAATGTGCCAATATACTAGTCATCTGTCCATGCGAAATTATTAATAGCGACGTGACAGAAAGATAAGACCATGTACGACAAGAATGTGTTCAGCTGCCGAATATATGAACAATTTCTTCGCTGATATCTGAGATGCCATTTTCGTAATGGTTTGATATCGTGAATTTCATCGTTGCGTTGGAATACACGAGGATCGAAGTTGAAGATGTACATCATGTAATCTCAGAATATCGTAGATAATCCACATAACCGTTGTAAAACCGATTGTAAAACTGAGCAGTCGATGGCATAACATTGCTTTGTTCCCCACGACTTACTAGTTCTATTTAGGTTCTCGGTTCTCTCAGTCTCTCAAACGACTAATCTGTCAAGTTCCCGTGTTCCAGTCAACACCCTTAAGTCAGATGCCAGTCTTTATTTTCAGGTAAAAAACTTTGTTGTGAAAGACTTTCGTAATCCGTGTTTTTGATTACCCAGCTACTACGTTCGACAGTGGTTTGGCGGACTGGGTGGCAAAAACGCCGAAAGAGTTTGACTCCGTTTGGGCACAAGCCGTTTAGTTAAAACTATTTGACATTTTTCAACAGAGATATATGAAGCCAATCTGTTCTGAAAAGCTGAGAAGCGCCGCACAACCGTTAAATCCATATTAAGCAGTGCGAATTTTCAGTAGGGAACCTCGAACTTTCGATCTTCCAGTTGGTATATTGAAGAGTTCATCTTTCGTTGACGGTCTACTGATTATCATAGCGATTAGATCGTACTTGAAATGGACATTGCGCCACTCGTTCTTTAATCACGGAAACCAGCCAGTGACACATTGACGGGCTACTTTAGTGACGACTCTCAGATGATAGCTTCACTCGTCTTGTAAACCTAGTCTTCCGATGTCGATACTTATCGTCAATATTGTCGGCATATATTATCTAAAATCGGTCCGAATAACTGCTTCGTTCAATAACTATTGGTTAATTTCCACCTAAGTGGTTTCTTGCTCTATATTTCCAAGTTTCTGAGAAGAAATAAAACAGGGAAAATTGCTTTCTGACCCCGTCAGGTTCATCGATTATCAGCCAAGTTTGTTCCACCACGCCGTTGCAGAACTGATGATTGGTCGTACAACGATATCAGAATGTAATTGTGTAAGGAAAGGTTTGGCCTATCAAAACGCTCATGTTGGCAGTGATGTCATGCGCCAGTAGACATACTCGGCGTCAAAGATCTTATTCAGTGTCTAGAACAATCCCTTGTTAAATACTATCCAAGATAGCATGTGGCTTACTGTTGTACAATGCCTCGCTTCTCAGAAAAAAAGTTGTACCGTGATTTCACTCCTGTTTTGCTCTCGTTTTATATAACGAAATTCTGGTTATCAATCTGTGCAACAAGTGGCAAGTAGGCACGTAGTCTTCTCTGACATGCAGGATGATCTGCCTCCCATCTGTGCACCGAACTAATCCCAGATTTTCTTTGGACGACCCTTGTCTAACTGCATGCCTTTAACCAATACATCCTGCTATTATCTTAGATGACATTCGGACGCCTATTCTTATTCAGATTATGTATCCTCAATCAATTTTTGATACAGGAGCATGCTTTCTCGGTTAATTCAAATGAGAAAACTTTCTGCCTTCACTGATCGGGTAACTACAAGCCTCCTGAAGCAACTACCCACTGTTTTATTCCCGTGATTCAGCTAACATTTCCACTTAGACACATTTAAGTGTGCTAATCTTCGTGAGTCCCCACTTTGAAAAGTAGTGGAACAGTTGGTGGCACAAAATATTGCCCAATCTCGTCGTATGCAACAGTATCCGTCTCGGCTGCTTTCATGGTGCCAAGATTATTGACTATTTTTGCCAAATCGTGGTACACAACTGACCCACATTTGGCCCATTCAACTACTGACCTTGTTTTCATCCGGTTTAGTCTGCAGATGCGCTTTCTGGGTAAAACCATGACCACATCTCCATTGAGTGTGATGCCTTGTCACATGTGTTCGAATGAAATATTGATTTAACGGGCATGAATATCCAGCGCAGCTGGATGATTTGCCCACCGAATGACCTGAATGACGGACTTGATGTAAGATTCCTTCTAACGTGCCACTCATTAGTAGCTGATGTGAAAAGCCAAATTAATGTCACGTCTGGTGCCAAGCCTACAGCGCTTGGCCAAACGGTCCGAACTTTTGATGCAGTCAGTTTGACGGTTGCAAGAAAGCTGAGGCGTTTTTAGAGTGATTTACCTGGAGGAACTGGGGGAGGTGTGCTGTCGGCGGGTGACAGATTATAACCTGAATCCCACATGTGCAATGTAGAAGAAAGATATCTGAGCTTCAGGCAAACAGAGAAAGCCACCAGGCTAAATCGAATCAACTTAATTTGAGCCAAAATCAGTGCCGAACTAGATGGAGCTTCCAGTCAACTCTTTTGGTCCATCTGTTAGAATCCTTTGAGCTCTTGGCAAATTTAGTTTGAAGTCGCCTCAGCCACAGTGTTTGGTCTCCAATTACCGCGGAAAAATCTCTACACGAGAATAGACAATGATATTTCAGAAGGGGAACTGAATAGTTAAAGCACAAATAAATCAACAATTTGGTGTATATTAAATCGTGCCGCGGGTAGGAAACAACGAAATTTATTCAATACGTGGGCGTAAAAGTTACTCTTTCAAATACAGGTGAACTTCACTTCCCACAGACAGCGCTCTTACGCCTGAACAAACCATATTTATTTGTCATGCTCTAGTATGGACTTAAGCTATACGGGACTCCTTAACAGTCTGTGCTGAATATTAACAAACAACAAAAGTGGGAGCTTAGTCGAATCTCACTTACGTCTCGTGTTCGAAAAACTGGTAATTTGCTTAAGATCAGTAAATGTCTGAATAGCCCGTGAGCACGTACTCAAAGCTGAGCAGCGTGTGCATTGATTGAGCCCTGGCTATACATCATCCATGCACTGAGCCACCTGGTATTCTGGAAGCCTGGAACCATCACCGTGACAGTAGGCAAGCAACACTTTTCATCTACTGAAGCTAACACAAAGCCTTTGGTGGTTGGAGCACTCACCCACTGGGATATAGGCACTACGCATAATTGGTAGGGAAGCGAACTCTGTACTCGCTTCATGTAATCAGATAAATGGTGCCTCGAAAGCCGACCGCGGCTCCATATGTGCATACGACTGAATGAAACCAGCAAATGTGGATCGCCAGGCTCAGCTCATTTTGCCAGTCACCCGGCGTGTGGAAAACCAAACAAGATTCACTGATTTCCCCGATCAAGCCACATAAATCTCTTTTGTCCGTGCACGCCTGGCCGAATCCGTAACCCGAAGCAGGCTTATTTAATTCAGTTTTTCGGGTTCACTTTCACCGATCAGTTTCTGCTTTAATCGGATGCTGCTCATCGTTGTTACTCAGGGAGACATGGCAACTCAGTTTTTTTTAAAAACAAGCAACCTACGTTAACGAAATTACGAAAAATGGATTTTTCGATAATGATGCAGTGGCAACTCACCTAGATAAGGGTCGTGGATTATTGTTTGATTCAAAAGCTCAAGAATCGATTCACGGAAGGTTCCGCCTGAGGTCCTCTGGTCTGATCGTTTCGGAATTTGTGCTTTGAGTTTCTAAAAACAAGACCTGTATTTTAACTTCTCGATGTTCAACCCCCCAAACATTCTAATTATTTAAGTGGGGTCGAGAAAAAGGGCAAATTACAAAAGAGAATGCATGTCTCAAACTTGAGTAATCTAGCATTTTATTCCGCCTGGCCGTTTCTATAAAACGTTTATAGAATATTGTTGATTTATGAACGGATCACTGTAGATGATCCTGGTGAAATTTGATATTTTCTGCAAGTACGTACGAGATTTTATCGCTAAACTATACTTCGAGGGACAAATAAATGATTCGTTTCTAAAGAGTAATTTTTTGGGAGGTGATTTCATTCTCAGAGGTCGTCGAGATTCTGTAATATTCATTCAAAGAAACAGAATGAGAATATCCAGGACTCCCTTATGTATGGGTTGAGTACATTAGGAATTCCGCAGGTGCATGCAGACATCTAACAAAAATAAAACCATTACCGATCAGATAAAACCAATGATGGATCTTTTCGGAAAAAAGTAAGTAGGAGCTGAAGGAAATGGGTTGCTGATTCAAAATGAAAATGCTAGGAAATACAGAGGGATGCACTGGGTGAAACTTTCCGGGTTTTGGACCACCTAAGATGGTTTTAATCAAGGAACAAAGATTGACATTAAAACAACCAATGTGGTTAGCCATTGGTAGGCATACTGCAATAGGTGACTCGTGTCGCGAGTGGTATCACTTGCCCTCCCTTGTGTGTTAGTGCTTTACACTTCACCTTGGGACGTGTGTCATGTAGGGTCTGTCGTTATTGAGTAGAACAACATCATAATCAACATAGTTTTTACTGTGAAAATAAATAGGAACTTATTCATCTTCAAATAGTCAATGTGAGCGTCCGTGTCAGCACACTGATGAAGAGAAAACAACTTGTTGTATTGACTCCCGGTAAAACATTATTCCCCTCCTGTAAAATGAGGCGTCCAACCAAGGATAGTTACTGTCTTGACCTTGTCTTTAACTCTGGCCCAAAGTTCACTGCTTCATGATGTTGGAAACATTTCGCTTTAAAAGCGTCCCAACCCGTACTGACCGTACTGGATGGTTCGTTTGATGTTCACAGGTTCTGTGTCATCATCTTTTGCTGTGACCGCTTTGTTTCCGGGTGGTGACGTACTCATCTGATCGATATCGGTTGAGCCTTCGGATGTCAACATACCACAGTGCATCGCCCGCGACAGCGCTCGCTTCCCACTGACTACTTCCGATCAATCAACAAGTTCAACTGTTCCGTACACCGCTCACTCTTTTAAGACGACCGAAATCCTGCCAGCGTTCCATCTTGGATTATGCTATCATATTCGATCCAAGGAGTTCATGTAGTCCAATACAGGTCATGCACATACACAAACAAAACGCGCGTGTGAAAATGCAATCTTTCCCCATGGAAATTGGGAATCCACTGGACTCCGTGATTCAAGTGGATCAGAAGGGAGATATATGCCAAATTCTCCTCAGTTTATTATCACGTCATACCACCAAATCATCTTCCTGTAGCCGGACAGCGTTGATATCTGACCAGTTTCACAATTCGTTTGCATTCAATAGCCATTCCAAAATATTTGAAATGCCTGCTTTCAAGTCTATATTTTCGACTTCAATTGTCCATAGAATATTGCGGTTAGAAGGCTGGTTAGTTTATTATCACGTCATACCACCAAATCATCTTCCTGTAGCCTGACAACGTTAAAATCTGACCAGTTTCACAATTCATTTGCATTCGTTAGCCATTCCAAAATGTTTAAAATGCTTGCATTCAAGTCTTTAGTTTAGACTTCAGTTGTCCATAGTATATTGCGGTTGGAAGGCTGGAAGCCAACTTGGAGATGCGCATGCGGTGTTCGTACCTCTGTCGTTGAAATCCGACTGGTAACTCTGACAGTTATTTCATCAGAATAGGTATGGTTGTTAAACATTGACACACGAAAGTGACATGCAATGCCTTTCAGTTTACTTCAAATGTGAGAGCACTTGTCTAATGAGTAGCCAGTGGCCTTCTTCATAATTGTGTCCGCAATGAGGAATACATTAAAGGTTCTTTCTCGGTTCTTTCAGCCTTTGGTGTGGAACACGAATGTTTCAGGAGCTTCCAATGATACTTCATTAGATATGTCATAACAATGAAAGGCGACGCAGTGGTGCATGAAGAAGTTTCAACCTTTAAACAGGGATTTACAGTCCTCCAGTGCTTTTGTGAAGCTCAAGAAGAGTACAGCCCCCAGAGCAATTAAACTCATGGCCATCCAAAACCTTTTGATTCTCTTGGTTGTGTTGTATAGCCTATAAACTTTACCTTAAAAGGGCAACTAAGTTTGGACAGATTTTACAAAACCTGGATTTAGGACATCAGTTATATGAGAGCTATGATTCAGAATCACATGATTTTAGGGTTGCATCTGTTAGACGATTTCTTTTTCTGGCAGGCAAAGTGTGAAGAGAGAGAGTGAGCAACTGACCAGTGCCGTGGGTCGTGCACGATGGGTTCAGTCAGTGACCATTGAAAAGTCTCATCGTTAAGCGGAGTGGAAAAACATCTAATTATAGCTGACAAGGTCTTCGGTCACTACATTATTGTGTTGGTTTGAATCGAAGATTATTCCTGACAACGATCGGTCGACTAGGAAACCTTCCAAGCGTTGCGGTAAACTGGTCGATCATGCACTATCGCTTCATAAACAAAATGAGATCGGAGCATGGGTCACTCATGATATCCACTGCCCAGTTTAATGCCGGAATCACCAAACTCCAGTTTATACATTAATGCCGGAATCACCGAACTAAATGGACGGATATTTCATCTTACTCTAAATTATCCCAGATATTTACTTAAGATAAGTATAAACAGAAAATCAAACTTCGAATACCTGAAATTGTCACATACCTCCTATGGTGAACTGGTGAACTGAAGCTACAAGTTACATCAGTATTCATCATATTCATCATGAATATTTGGACCATGGAGACATCTTCGTGCGGAATGTGGTAACTATTACATATGAAATGTGCAACTGAGTATGACATCGTGAACTGAAAGCATTCTAGTTTGCCTCCTGGGAGGCATTTACATGGGATCGAGTTAGTGTCACTTGCTCATCGGGATATTAGTTCAGTAGATTTTAGAGAATTAAAAACTGGTAAGTTTCTTCAGTGGTACAATTTTGAGACCTTTGAATTTACTCAGATTTGAGACTTGAAAGCAACCAGTGAAAGAATCGGGGGGAGGAACATACCGTAAAATTTCTTACCAACTTCTTTAGTTAAACGTATGACTTACCTGTTTGAGTAAACAGTACTTTAAAGCACCAGTTTCGGTAAAAAACAGTTTCATATCCTCTACTATGCCCTGTAAGTATGCAGACAAAAGAAAGAGGAATGATGAAAGAGTTCTGGTCCTAGAAAACATGGGGACGGGAAAGTAATTAATGAAATTAAACAAAATCGTGCACTGCATGTGCTTTTCTCAAGTTGATCTTGTTTGGAAATGCGGGAAAAAGTCGTTTACACAAATGCTCATGTATAATGTTCTAGAGGCTCTCAGTTCATCTAGAAGCAGTCGCTGTATTAGAAGAAAGCCGGGTGCTGTTATCAAACTTTTGTACTCTCTATTGGAATTGTTGCTTATTCACAACAAAAATCGTTTTGGAAGCAATGACATTAGTGATCTGCACAATCCAGATTCGCTGTTGAGGAGAATATTGGTAGCTCATGTATAGTAGGTGACCGTTCGTTTGTCCGCTAATTTGGGCTATTTGATTTCAAACGTTTCATCAGAAATCAACCTGAAGTCATCAGTGCGTTCCTGGGAAATACAGTGGAGCTTGGCTGTGCATCCAATAGTGATGCATATGTGCCAAAATATGTGATACTGACCGGGACCGAACTTCGAGTGCAATCCGTTGCTTGGTCGGTCTTCTCTGCTATCCCATGATTTGACTGATCAGTGACCACGTGACACTTGATTTTGGCCACCTGAAACTGTATCATTCGAATCAACGCAATGCTCAGGAAGCCACATGAGATAAACACTTGGGAATGATGAGGAGCGAAAGCAGTTGAAAACAACTTTTCGGACTCCTACGCGCACTACTCCAGGAAAGGTTTACAGTTCGACCATTCGTTTCATTGCCGGGGACTCCACCCTTCAAAACTGTCAAAGAACCTATGAGAAAAATTGAGGTCCACATCTTGAGATCCACATATCAACAATTGTTGCCAGTTTCTAAGCAAATTGGGGACCATCAAAATGGAAGACAATAAAATCATGCTTTTGAGATGCCACATCATTATTCACTTACATCAACCGCAACCTCGCCAAAGAGGCAATAACGGAACTCATCGAATAATCCCATAGTTTCTAAAAGACACAGTGATGAACATTAATGCTTTCTGGATCGCAGAATTACTTTGTGCATATCCGACATTCATGCTTTCTGAATCGCAGAATTACTTTGTACATATCCATGGAGGTCGAAAGTCTATGTTAGTCCTTATTGCAGCTTTGATTTCAGGCATACCTTGACTCTAATGAGTAAACATGTCAATAGTTGAAAGGGACTCAAACGAGATATCCAATATCTGGGTTTATCCCTGAAGCGTTATTGCAGAAAATGGAGTGCCGGTACTACTGACCACCAATCCACCGTGTGAACGACAAGTTTTCTCTCATAAAACCTGATTCATTACGCAGTGTATGAAGGCTTTAACGTTACCTTTGAAGATATTAACGGTACAATCGAATTGGGCGGGAACAGTCGACAAAACTTCTTGGATATTTTGCTGCATAAGAATCTGATTTGAACTCTAAAAACTTGTGTATCCCACAAAAAAGACACATGCAAATCAAATGCTCAACTTCACGAAAAGCCATTCAATGAAAGATGAAAATAAACGCTCAATGAGTTACAACAAGTGATGCAATCAAACTCTATTCAGGAGGATGTAGACGAGTGGCAGCAAGTTAAAAATCTCTCTA